CACAGGATCAAGTCAGCCCAAGTCCTAACATAAACAGGGGAGGGGCTCATGAAATTCCTCCCTAGCTAAGGAGCTATTGGCACCTGAAGGCTCCTGGGGGAGGAAGAGTCAGCCCCTGAGAAGCTGTCCATTCTCCAGCAGATGGCACTACACATCTGCATATAAGGCAGCACTCAGCAGAATCTCTTTATGAAGAGAGAGCAGGGGCTGGAGAGCTGCCTCAGAAGTAAAGAGCACTTATTTTTCTTTCATAGGACCCAGGTTCAGTTCCCAGGACCCACATGGTAGCTCACAACTCTCCATAATTCTAATTCCAGGGGATCTGACCACCTTAGGTATTAGGCACACTATGGTACACCTGTATACATTCAGACAAAACATTCATATACATAAAATTAAATAAATCTAAAAATTAAAAGAGGGAGCACATGAAATTGGGAGAGAAAAGGAGGGGTGATGTGGAATTGGAAGGGAGTAGTGTGGATTTGATCGAAACACATTACATACATGTATGAAATTCTCAAACAATGAAATAGTTTTTTAACTAAAGAAAAAACTGGGCATGGTGGCACATGCTTGCAATTCCAGCACTGGGAAGGCAGAAAAAGAAAGATAACTGGGGGGCAGGGCTGCTGTCCAACCAAGCTAGCCTTATTAGTAAGTTCTGGGCCCCCAAAACCAAGATGAACATCTTCTAAGGAAAACATCCAAGTTTGATCTCCAGACTCCATACACACAAACATATGCACACATACACATGGGAGAGGCACATCTGAGACAATTACACAGGCTGTTGCTCTGTAATTCATACATACCTTCATACATGCCTTCATACATACCTCAGCTACATTCATTCTAATAAAAGCTAATTCCAACTTTCTTCATTTTAGTATTAATCCTGTTAAAACTTTGTGTAAACAGCTTAAGACATATTATTTATCTGTCCTAATAGTGCCTAGTATGGTGCCTCATAAAAAAGCATATGCATTAAATTTTGTTAAATTTATATTTATGTGCTTGAGTGTTTTGCCTGAATGTATGCCTGTGTGCTGCATGCATGCCTGGTGTCCAAGAAGGTCAGAAGAAGTAATGGATCCCCTGGGACTGAAATTAAAGTTGGATATAAGATACTGGGTGGGGCCAGGCGTTGGTGGTGAATGCCTTTAGTTCCAGCACTTGGGAGGCAGAGGCAGGTGGATGTCTGTGAGTTCAAGGCTAGCCTGGTCTACAGAGCAAGTTCCAGGGCAGGCTCCAAAGCTACACAGAGAAACCCTGTCTCAGAGAGAGAGAGAGAGAGAGACTGGGTGGGTGCTGGGAATTGAACTTGAGTCTATTGGGGAAAAAAACCAGTGCTCTTAACCACAGAGCCATCACTCAAGCCCACATCAAAAAAAATTTTTTGAGAACTACATGAACATACCATTGAGAAATAGCTGGGGGCTGAGAGTATAACACGGTTGTAGAAAAGTTGACTGGCACACAAAATTTCATTCCCCTGGCAGTCTCTGCCTGTCTGTGTCTGTGTGGAGGGGGAAGCAGTTGAACATTACTTAGTATTGTATTGCACAACAGTCTAAGAACTAGATATTTTACATTATTCTGACAATTACTGTTATTAGTAGTAAGAAGGCAATTTTTAATTTGTAAAGTGGACAATTAATTACCTTTGGTTAAAACAAATAATATTTGAAAATACATTTCTGAAACAGACATGCAAATACACATGTATTTGTCTAAGTCTGGGTAGTTCTCTTATGAGGGCATAAAAGAAATGAAGACTAACCAATATTACTGGGACGCTTTCCAGCTTGGAATGTGGGGTTAGTTTTTATTTGGCACATGTATAGACAGCACTTCTTGCAACAATTTAATGCATATTTGATCATCACTTTTTACAGTAATTCCACATTAAATCATATTAACCAAACTAAGTTACAGTTCTTCAGACTGCTAGCCAAAGGGCTGCTGGGTCAGCACCATGGACAGGGGAGCAATTCCCAGAAACAGATAGGAAGGCTTGTAAAATGACAGCTGTGGGGAGAGGGTCTACCAAAGAAGCAGTTGGGTTAAATGCTCTTTTGGGGTTCTCAAAGAAGGAAGTCTCCAAACTACTCAAGGGACTGAAGTCTTAGGAAGATAACCACTCTCCAGTGTCTCCAACTTACACTTATTGACCTGCTTGTGGGTTCGTTCACTTCTCTGTTGACAAATGTGCTCTTCTGCAGCAAACTTGGCGACAATTGTTCTTTAAAAGCCTCCATTCAAAAGAATTGTTGATGCACCTAGAGTGGGCTTATGATGTTACTGAGGTTGTTTCAAATCAGAGCCCCTGACTTTCAGCAATACATTCTAAAGCTTGCACAGAATACACAGAATGCGCAGAATTTGCTTCAAAATACTCCTGGATAAGGAGACTGGGTGGAGGTATAGAGTAGACAGATTAGCCACGAGTTACTAACGGTTATAGCTGGAAGGCAAGAACATGAGCTAATTCTACTTTTGTATACCTTTGAAATTCCCCATTGAGACTTTGGTATGTACTTCTGAAAGACCACAAAGTGTATAATAATACCCACACCTAAGAGAGAAGAAAGGTGAGCCCAAATGTTTTCTGCTCAAGACAGACCTTTAAAGAAGACAGGCTGTAGCTTCCCAAGGGAGACTTTAAATTTTTGTCTTACTTAATTAAGCCTGGGCAAGAAAAGAGTAAGAGGTTTAGTCATCCAAGGATGATTGTTTTCTTCTGAAGCAAGACCTTAGGAAAGCAATGTCTTAGTCAAAAAACAAGTGAAAACTTTCCATGTACCTCCTTTGGCAGGCTCCTCCAAAAATGTAGAGACGTAGGAGAAGCACATTTCCAACCAGGCATGGTGATGTGTGCCTGTAACCCCAGCACTCAGTAAAGACAGAAAGACAAGTCAAGGACCACTGGACTACATAGTGAAACTATCTCAAAATAAAATATTTTACATCTCACTTCATATTTCATTAAGGTAGCATCCTAGTGGGGACAGTGGATGTGTTGTCCAGTAATTTGAAAATGTGCTTATCCAATGGCTAGCCAACTTCTTTTAATTAACATGGCCTGGCAAGTCTTGACCCATTTTACAGTCAAGCAGCAAAAGGTTACATCTAATGGCTACTCCTAAGAGGGCTACTCTTATTCAGTCGTTACCATTCCCTAATGTCCCACAACCAATTTGTAAGGGTGTCGTGTAGCCCAGGCTGTCTTCAAATAGCCATGGACTCTTGATCCTGCTGCCTCCACCGCCTCCCAAATTCTGGGATTACAAGCATGACCCACCACAACCAGCTCCCTCTTGTCTTACACTCTACTCCAATCACTTCAAGTTACAATCTCCCTAAGTCCAGCAGACCTTCAAGTTTGTGACTTTGAAATGCTCAGATACACACCTGGCTTAATACCAACAAATGGGCCACGAACATAAAAGACCCTATTGACATCTGAATCTGAACCTGGGTTTCCATGTGACTCCCATCACCTTTAGCACAGAGGTCTCAGTGCCTCATCCTCTTTATGGGATTGTTGTAAACCGAGACTTGCTCGATCAGTATTTACTCTGTCCTTTGGTTCTCGTCCCTAGTAATGCTTCTTCCAAGACATTTACCCAGACCTCTTATCTAGACCAAATCTCCAATATGTTCCTTTTCTTACACAAAACATTATCTGTGACTTGTTGATGCTTTCCACGCCCAGCAGATTGAAAACTCAAACATGGTAAGAGGATCCTGATTTGATTCATTCCTTCACCGTGTCTGGTAGGAAGCCAGTACTAAATATGTACTTATGGTGCTTTATACCTCTGGGATGCTAGAATTAGGCAAATTATGGCAACAACAACAAAAAAAAGTTTGAGAAGTAAGTCATTGCTCTGTTTCCTAACAAGGTACTGATTCCGAGAAGAGTTGCTTTGCCCACTAATGAATGCCAAGAGCCTAAAATACTGTCACAAAGTAGGCACTCCATGAATACAGGATGGGTATTCATGAACCGGCAGGGTCTGGGACATCTAGCGATGAAGTTTTGCAGCAGTAGAGAAATCTAGCCCTGGTACTACTAGGTCCCAGGTGCCCTATTGATCACGCTTGGCCACTCACACCTTCCCAGAGCCTTGCACAATTAAGAGATTTCCCCAAAAGGAAAATGAGACTTCTGACCAGACATCTGAACAGAGCCCGGACGCTCAGGCTTTCCTTACTCAGGAGAGCAGGCTCCAACTAAGGATCCTAGACAACAAACACTCCATGCATGGCCAAATCCTGCCTGTAATCCTTCCACCTAACAAAGGAGTGCCTCCCCCTCTCTCACACACACACACACACACACTACAGAAATGACTCCAGGGCTTGAGGAAGGATGCTCATTGTCGTTTACTGTTATACTTCACGGTCTCTGGAGAAATGGAGTCTGACTTCAATGTATCCCTCCGCCCCGAGAACATCCCTCGCACCCTCATTCCTAAAGTCTCTCGGCAGCAAGTCACGGTGCTGCGCGCTCTCGCGAGACTCCTCCACGCAACCTCCCCCCACCCTACTTGCCTGGGAGGAAGCCTCGCACACACACCCCCATCCCAGTGCCCCGGCAGTGAGCGGCGCATGCGTGGCCCCGCGGCTCCCAGCGCCCCCCGCGCTGCGCTCTCCGCTGGGCGAGCTGACGAGGCTGCGTGCCAGCTCTGCGCCCCGCGAGGCCTCGCCTCATCCTGCTGCTTCTTCTTCTCCCCCACCCCCACCCCTGGCCGAGGCCGAGGCCCTCATCAGCCTCGTGCGGAGGAGTCCGGAGTGCTGCGAGCGCTGCTGGGAGCCAGGAAGAGCTCTCCTGTACTCCTGCCCTGGCTGGACACCTGCAGCGGCCTGGACCCGGACCAAGATCCCGGGGCCGCGGGCTGCGCCTCCCCGAGCCTCGCGGACACACCCCCTCCCGGTCGGCGCCTCCGCCCATCCCGCCCTCCTCTCCAGTGTTCCGTGCTAGCCCAGTTCTCTTTCCCACCTTGCTCCCTAGAGCTCCTCATGGGAGGGGGCACATCTTGATCGGAGACGAGGGCGGGTTTGCAGACTTTTTGGGGTGGGTGCACATTGACCTTTTCAAGATCCTAATAAAAATTTGATTAATCAGCCTGGAGTTCCTTGTTCCAGCTGACATACTGTCTTTTATCTCCCTCCAGTCCCATATTTCCAAGGACATTTAAGTAGGGGGCCCTGGGAAGCTTCTCTGGGCCCTTATGTGGAACTAGACCTGTTGGCCCTGGTTGGATCATGGCTACAGTCCTGGACCCTCAGGTGGACGTGGAAGTTGAGGAGTGTCTCATAATGAAAGTGGAAAAGGACTCCGAGTGGGCATCGGAGCCCATTCTGGAACGATCAGACAGCACTGAATGTGAGTCCTTTCGTAAATGCTTCAGGCAGTTCTGTTATGCGGATGTGACGGGACCCCAAGAAGCTTTCAGTCAACTCTGGGAACTCTGCTGCCGGTGGTTGAAGCCAGAAACGCGTTCCAAGGAGCAGATCCTCGAGCAGCTGGTAATTGAACAGTTTCTCACCATTCTGCCTGAGAAGATTCAGGCTTGGGCACAGAAGCAGTGTCCAGAAAGTGGAGAGGAGGCTGTGGCCCTCGTGGTTCATTTGGAGAAAGAGACCAGAAGATTGAAAAAGCAGGTGAGAGAGAATTTTGAATGATGGGAATGGGAAAGGCAGGTAGGCGAGGCCACACTGCTGGGAGAAGAGCTCAGTATAAATAAATGGGGCTAAAAGAAAAATCCATAAGCTGAATCCCCCTAAAAGCAGATTTTATTTCATATTAAATGGAGGAGAGAATTTTGGTTGGTCTATTGTCTTGCGAATTAAATTAAAATTATAGCCTGTTTGTTCTAATCCTTGCTATGTTCCTACCAAAATTAGACAGACACTATTAAATAGTTAATCCCTCACAGGGTTTGTCTTTGGCGGGAGAGGGAGATGTCACGGGATACCCCAGAATCCTCTCTATTCCTTTACTATTCCAGTCATTGTCTTGTAAAGTACTTTTACTGCCATGGTCCTTGGCACTCCTCCAGCTTAACTGCCAGATCATCTTTTTTTTTTTTTTTTTTTTTTTTTTTTTGGTGTCCTTGCATGCTGGTGCAGTTTATTTTAACACCCTTTGTTAACCTCATGAGATCCTGCAGTGTTTGCCGGGTTTGTAGTTTCACCTTGCACAGTGTGTGTTCAGGAGTTGACTTTATAAGTTTTCAGTTAATTAGTGTCCTGCTTAGTTCTCTGTGCACCTGATAGATACAAGGTCTTTGTAGTAATGACCTCACCCCCGAAAAAAACAAATACAGATAAAGTGTGTTCTGTTCCCTTATTACCAAACTACTGTGAGCCGATTTCAATCCATAGAGACTTCTCAGTTCTTTTGTCCTTAAATGCCCTTGTGGGGGGCATTTCACTCTGATTAGCAGTTCTTTTCCTCCACTTCTCTTTACCACATTGACTGTATTTTGCAGGTCAGTAGTTCCTTACACTCAAAGAAGCAAGCCTCACCTGGAACTGTGTGGGAAGTAGCTGACTTTGAGCCAGAGCAACTGGAGACCCAGCACAAGGTTGTTTCTCAGGAAGAAGCTGGAAGCCTCCTCTCAGGATACCACGGACAACTGAACCAAAAACGAGAGCATAGGCCACTACCTAAGAATGGTAAGAAGGACTCAGAGTGCACCGGGATCAGAGACTGTAGGTTTACACTGGCTTGCTCAGTGTAGGTCCCTTTGATACCCATTTGAAAAAATAAATTGAATACTTGTAAAGAAAATTTTCATCTGCTTAGAGTCAGGAATATGAGCTACCAAAATAAAATAGTATCATGAAGATGGAAATTAGGAAACTTAGATTGTCCAGAACAGCTTTGAATCTTGGTCAGTTATTTTAATATCTCTGTTCAACATTCACCTTGTGTCTTTAGTCATGCAAAATGCATATTTGCTCTCCACTGACAACAAACAACTTGAAAAACTGTTGAGAAATGGAAACAAGGTATTTTTATTCCAAAACTTGACTCACAAGATAAGACATCCCAGAATAGTATATGGGAGGCATAAAAGGTGAGACTTCTCAAACAAGGGCAGCATCTAGCTGCCCTCTATATGAACACAAGTCAGATAGAAGGGATACAGCTGTCTGTCTCTTCCAGTCCAGTAACCTTTCCATCTCCTGAAGTGTGACTTCATCCCAAGCCAGTAGAGATGTGTGGAGGGATCTTGTCTAAAGACTTCATTTCTCTCTTGTCTGCCCCCACACTGTGATCTTAGGCTAGAAGAAGCAAGCAGACCTGAGTTCATAACACAGCTCTCCCCATATTTTATTTTTGTAGCTTTAGTCAGGTTATTTTTTATTTAGGGTTTCTATTACTGTGATGAAACACTATGATGACCAGAAGCAACTCAGGGAGGACAGGGTTTATTTCACTTACACTTAAACATCAAAGGAAGTCAGAACAGGAATTCAAACAGGATTGGGTACCTGGAGGCAGGAGCTGATGCAGAGGCCATGGAAGTGGGCTGCTTACTGGCTTGCTCATCATGGCTTGCTAGGCCTGCTTTTTGATACCATCTATGCCCACCTGCTCAGAAGTAACACTATCCACACTGAGATGGACCCTCCAGATCAGTCATTAATCAAGAAAATACTCCACAGGCTTGTCCACAGGCCAGTCTGGCAGGGGCAAGGAGCAGGGGGCGCGTTTTCTCAGTACAGGTTTCTTCTTCCTAGCTTATGTCAAGTTTAGATAGAAACTAGCCAGCACACGTGACTTCTCCTAGTAATGTCAGAAGTGACTATAGTGAGATATTCACCTTGTCTGCACCTGTGGCATAGACCACGCCCATTGGGGGTGGAGACATGGCCAGACATGACCTGGGGGAACTGAGGCTGAGGAGGGGGCTCGGAGAGCTCTCTTGCTTGCAGCACGGGGACAGAAGAACATACGGAGGCATCCTTGGGACCGGGAATCTGCTGGTGTTCATCTGTCTATGTTGTGAGTTATTTCTCCCTGAATAAACATCTATTCAGCCTACTTGTTTCTCCTGATAAGTCTTCAAATGCCACAGTCTCACACTGAAGCATCTTCTAGAGCCAATACGCTGTGCCCTTCAGTGGAACTCGTTCTCTCCAGTTCCCAGCCCCAGCCCTCTCTCATGCATGTTACCTGCTTGTTCCTGAAGCATCTGAATGGGGAGCCCAGCATTAGAATAAGGTAGATTTGGGTATTGCTCTAAACTCATTGAAAAAAAAATCATCTATTCCTTTCTGTAGATTTTAATATGTTCTCATTTCTTAAAGGGAGAGGCAGCATGAATTAAAGGACCAAAGTTCAGAATACTATATATCATAATTCTTTCTTTTCTTTTTCTAGCTCATTCTTCTCTCTGGGTTCCTGTCCCTAGTGATGAGTGGAACTCTGTAGATCAGGAAGTAACAACCCAGGTAATTTATTTCCGGTTAATTGTAATTGTTCTCCCTGGCCTTCCTTCTAGGGAATTCAGACACAGTTATTCCCCATGTTTTTACTTGTTTATACTTCTTCCAAAGAAGTTTTTCCCTCAATTTCTTTCCCAGAAGAAGTTATACTTGGTGTTCTCAGTAGTGGAACTCCTTGCTGGATTAGTTGTCTTACCTTATCTCATCCTGATTCTTTACTATATCTCCCACTTAACTTAACACATGATACATTTGTGTTTCCTTAACTCAGCTCTTCTTTAGGACCCTTCTCTGCTTCACCCATGGCTCTTCACCCTTTGAAGACCTTTGCAGTTGTCTTGGTAGTCACTGGTGTTAGTGTCGTTACAGGAACCAGTGAAGGATGTCCACACAGTGAGAAGCTTTTCCTACAAAAAGAGTGTGCATTCGATTCCTGCTCACAGAGATCTCTACCACGAAATCAGGGAGGAAAGTGCAGAGAGCATGGTTTCCCTGGGTAAGCATTCTTTCCTTAACAAATAAAAGACTGGGAGATTTCTTATATTTTAATTCCTACTGGTGATAAATAGTTCTAAGTATTAGTGATTAAAGCAGTGGTTCTCAACCTATAGGTCAAAACTCTTTGGCAACTTCTATCTCCAGACAGTATATACATTACGATTCATAACAATAGGAAAATTATAGCATTAAAAATAATTTTATGATTGGGAGTCACCACAACATGAGGAACTGTATTAAAGGGTCAAAGTATTAGAAATATTGAGAAACACTGGCTTAAAGTATTTCCATGGATTGTATAGTGTAGTTATTTATCTGTTCCTTTTCCTTACTTATGTACTCTTTCCAGAAAAAAATTATAATAGTAATAAGAGCATTGAATAGGAGTTATATATGGATACCATATTTATAGTGTAGGAAATACAAACTTACATCCACCAGCCTAGAGATCTGTGGAGGTACCAGGTCTTCTGCAGTTTATTTGTATTTAACAATAATGACCTCGACACCTAACACAGAACTCCTAACAGGTGGATGAATGCCTGTTAAGTATTTGTTGAATGGATAGAAATCTTAAATATTGAATAAAAACTAATTTAATTTCAGTAAGCTTGGTAGCATACTATAATTTATTTAAGTAGACAAGTGCATAGACATGACCACTATTGTGTCACTTTCCAGGCAAGTTTTCACAGGGCTGTCTCTGTCTGCTGTAACAGGAGAGATAAGTAATATTCATTCATGTATGCATTTTAATTCAGAAGTCAGAGATCTGGCTGCTTCTGCCTTCAAGTGCTGGATTTTAGGGACTATGTCCTTTCACCTGGTTTTTTTTTTTTTTTTTTTTTTAATGTTTAGAGAAGTTCTTTCACTGACATGTAACTCACCCAGTAGGCTAGGCTGGCTTGCCAATGAGCCCTAGGGATCCACTTGTCTCTACCCACTCCCAGGACCAGGATTATAAGAGTGTACCACTACATCTACTTCTCTCTCTCTCTCTCTCTCTCTTTCTCTCTCAGTGAGGATTGAACTCAGGTTCTTATGGAAACATTTTACCAACTGAGAAACCCCTCCAGTTTGTCCACCTTTTTTTTTTTTTTTTTTTTTTTTTTTTTAGGGGATTAAGTATACCATTGTCAGGTACGCTGACTGGCCAGTGAGCTCTTGGGATCTGTCTGTCTCTCCCTCCCCTTAAAATGTGGACTTTAAGGGCCAAATTTGTGTCTTCATGCTTACAAGTAGTTTACTGATGGAACTGTCTTCTCAGTCCTGGCTATATTACTCTGAAGTAAGTTCCAGGCCAACCAGGGCTGCACATCGAGACCCTGCCTCAAAAAAAGAAAAGACGAGAACAGTGCTTAAAGAATGCTACCTGAGGTTAGCCTCTGCCCTCTACATATGTATGTACACAAGTGCACCTATACACACATACGTATACAAGGTTGGACTGTGCCTGAGGAACAACACCTGGAGTGATGCTCAGACATACACACATATATACACACAAGTTGTTGTTACAAATGATATTAATATATAACCAACGGATACTCATTATAAATACGATAATCCTGACTATCGGGTGAGTAACTACTAGCCATATATACATTTAAATTTTCAGTTTGGGGCTAGAGAGGTGGCTTATTGATTAAAGGCACTGGCTGCTCTTCCAGATGTGTTTGTTTCCCAGCACCCACATGGTAGCTCACAACCATATGTAACTCCAGTTCTGGCCTCTGAAGACACTACACACACGGCACATATACATACATCCAGGTGAGAATGTGCACACACACATAAAATTATCTTCATCCATTCTTCAGTTGAGGGGCATTTAGGTTGCTTCCAAGTTTTGGCTATTATGAATAATGCTGCTGTGAATATACTTGAACATATGTCTTTGTTGCATGGATGTGGATCTTTGGGGTATATGCCTAAGAGTGGAAATACTGGATCTTGAGGTAGACTGATTCCCATTTTCCTGAGGAACTGCCATACTTATTTCCAAAGTGGCTGTATGAGTTTGCACTTTCACCAGCATTGGAGTAGTGTACCCCTTTCTCCACATTCTCTCCAGCATAAACTGTCATTGGTATTTTTGACTTTAGCCATTCTGACGGGATTAAGATGGTATCTCAGAGTTGTTTTGATTTGCATTTCCCTGATGGCTAAGGATGTTGAGCACTTTCTTAAGTGTCTTTCAGCCATTTTAGATTCCTCTATTGAAAATTCTCTATTCAGTTCTGTACCCCACTTTTTAATTGAATTATTTGGTGTTTTGATAACTAGCTTCTTGAGTTCTTTGTATATTTTGGAAATCTGCCTTCTGTCAGATATGGGGTTGGTGAAGACCTTTTCCCATTCTGTGAACTGCCGTTTTGTCTTGTTGACTGTGTCCTTTGCCTTACAGGAGCTTCTCAGTTCCAGGAGGTCCCATTTATTAATTGTTGATCTCAGTGTCTGTACTACTGGTGTTATGTTCAGGAAGTGGTCTCCTGTACCAATTCATTCAAGGGTACCTCCCACTTTTTCTTCTAAGAGGTTCAATATGGCTGGATTTATGTTGAGGTCTTTGATCCATTTGGATTTAAGTTTTGTGCAAGGTGATAGATATGGATCTATCTGTAGTCGTCTACACACCAGCATCCAGTTATGCCAACACCATTTGTTGAAGATGCTTTCTTTTTCCCATTGTATAAATTCCATTGTATAAATATTTTTGTCAAAAATATTGTTGATGCTAACCATTCTAACATATGTGAAATAATAACCCATTATGATTTTGATTGACTTTTCCTTGTTAACAATGTTGAGTGCCTTTTCATGAATGTGTTGGTCATTTGCACATCAGATTCTTTGCCTGTGTTTTATCAGATGTTTTTCTGCGAATTGTACGATTCCTTGTACATTTTAGATTTTAACCTTTTATAATATGTATAGTTGTATTTCCCCTGTACTGCAGGCTATTTCTTTATTTTGTTGATTATTTTCCTTGCTGTGTTGGAACTTTTATTACCTCTGCTTTCATTGTATAGAAAAAAAAAATCCAAGACTGGATCAATTACCTTTTCCCCCTTTGCTTTCTTCTAGAATTTATGGTTTCAGGCCCTATGTTTAGGTCTCATATATCTATACATGGGGGTGTATATAAAGGCCAGTGGCCAATGACTGATGTCTTCCTCCACCATATTCTTGGGGTCATGTTCTCTCATTTGCCTGCTGCTGTGCTCCCTGACATGATGGTCATAGACTCTAATGCTCTGGGTTGGTGTCCGTAGCACTGGAACAGTAGCTGAGAACTTATATCCTAGAGATCCTTCTGCTAGGATTACAAGCACATGTCACAAAGCTTGCCTTCCTTATGGATGTTGGGGCTCAAACTCAGGTCCTTATGCTTATATAGTAAACACTCTACCAACTTAACATCCTCCCCAGCCCCATGTGTAGGAATTTAATATATTCCAGATTAATCCTTGGACTTAAAAGACTGTCTATTATAGTTTACTTTCTCTGTTTTATGGCAATACCAGACTGATTAATAGAGCTTAATAAAAATTCTTTACTTCTCTAGTAGCCCTAGATGTTTGTGTGCATATGTATATGTGAATTCATGTACATTGAGACAAGAAAGGGTGTTGGGAACATATATAAATAAAGGAAACAAATACTAAGCTAGCTATGGTGGCTCAGGACTATATCCTAGTCCTTGGGAGACTAAGGCAGAAGGATTGTTATGAATTTGAAGCCATCAGTAATTCCTGGCTAGCCTTGTCTACAATGTGATATAATATCACCCAAAAGAAAGAGTCAAAACTAATGAACTATGTCTTACCTTGAGGACATTCCTAAAAGAATTGGCTAGATGGAAGCAGTATATACATAAGAATAAGATATCATGTATAAGTTTCTGTGCCAAAGAAGTCACATAAATAACTACAGTGTGCATGGTTATGGCTGGGGGAGGCTGTGGTGTAAATAAGTAGTCCAGGAGAGCATGTTTGAACAGGAGACTGGGGTGTGTGGTAATGACATCTGTACCTACTGTGAAATATGATTCTTTTACTGTAGGAGGCACTGTGTCTACATCTAACAAGATAGCCCAGTTGGAACAAAGAAAAGAGCCATGGACTGTAGGTCTACATTCCTCAAATAAGAGGAATAGTGTCCCGAGAAGCAACTGCATCAAAGAGAAATCAGTGAGTGCTGTTCAGATCCCAGCAAGGAATTCAGGGAAAGTGTGGCGAGAGCAGCAACAGTGGGGTTTAGAAGATGAAAAAATTGCAGGTGTGCACTGGAGCTATGAGGAAACCAAGACTTTTCTTGCAATTCTCAAGGAATCTCGCTTTTATGAAACACTCCAGGCTTGTCCCCGAAATAGCCAGGTATATGGTGCTGTGGCTGAATGGTTGCGAGAATGTGGCTTCCTCCGAACACCAGAGCAGTGCCGGACCAAGTTCAAAAGTCTTCAGAAAAGTTATAGAAAAGTGAGAAATGGCCACATGCTAGAACCCTGTGCCTTCTTTGAGGACATGGATGCCTTGTTAAACCCTACAGCCCATACTTCATCTACTGATAAGCCAAAGGCTGTGATCTCTCTCCCCAGACTAAAGAGACTTGGTATTAGTGCTAAAGAACAGGTCAGTTTGGTGGAAGAGGAGGATGAAGGTGCTGAAGACTCGGATGGTGATGAAATGGGCATTGAGTTTATACGCAAGTCTGAAGTGCATACTGCCCCTGTTTTGTTTCAAAACCTAAGTGGTAAGAATTGTGATATTTTTTTTTTCTTGGTGTGAAGATAGAAGTGTGTTCCTGTAATCCTGGAAAGAGTTATCACACTCCATGCTGCTCCCACTGTGATGTTACCCCACAACTAAAAGGGCACCTGGGTGTTTGTTGCTGTCCCCAGCACAACCTGATTAACAGATTTGAGGAGCCTGCAGGCTCTTATTCAAGCTAGAACTAAGCATGGTTCTTAAATATTTGGTGGTCACAGCAGAGAGATGACTCAGTGGATAAGAGCACAGGCTGCTCTTGCAGAGGATCCATGTTCAGTTCCCAGCATCCACATGGCAAACAGCTCATAACCATCTAGTTCCAGTGAGTCAACACCCTTTTCTGGAGTCAACACCCTTTTCTGGACTCTAGGCACACAGATGTAACCATTGTAGAGGTAGGTAGGTAGGTAGGTAGGTAGATAGATAGATAGATAGATAGATAGATAGATAGATAGATAGATAGATAGATAATATTTATTATAGTCCTTCCTATGAAAGACCGGTAAATGGAGCTAAAGAGTTCTAAATGTCTAATATTATTTGAAGATTAGTATAATTAGTTAGATTGTAATAAATGAAGGGTACCTTATTAGTCCATACAGTATAACACTAACAGTGCAAAGGAGTTGAGAAAAGGAAATATAAACTTTTTTTGCCCAATTTAAAAGGCAAGAAAGGGTAATAAACAGAACACAAAACAGTGTAAGAGCTGAAACAATAGTGAGAGCCAGGCCTGGTGGCACATAGCTGTAATCCCAGAACTTGGGAAACAGGAACATCAAGAGTTTGAGGCCAGCCTGTACCATATAGCCAAACCCCTTTTCTAAATTAATGAATACAGAAGCAAGCTGTTTTGGTTACTTTTCTGTTACTCTGAAAAGATACCATGACCAAGACAACTTACAGAAGAGTTGGTTGGGACTCACAGTTCCAGACGGTTAGAGTCCATGACCATCATGACAGGGAGCATGGCGGCAGGCAAGTAGTCATGGTGTTGGAGACATAGCTGAGATCTTAAGTCTTTATCAGCAAGCATAAGGCAGAGAGAGAGCCCTCCTGTTAAATGGGATAGGTATGGGCTTCTACAATCTCAAAACTTTCCCCAATGGCATGCCTTCTCCAACAATGCCATACTTCCTAACCCTTGCCAAACAGTTCCACTAGCCAAGAACCACACATTCAAATATATGAGCCTATGGGGACCATTCTCATTCAAACCACCATATCCCATTCCCAATCCCTCTCCCAATAGGTTTGTTGCCATATAATAAAATACATTTAGGCCAACTTCAAAAGTCCCTATAATCTTTCAGTCTCAAGAGTGTTTAAAAGTCTAGAGTCTCTTCTGAGAGTCAAGGCAGTCTCTTAATTGTAACCACCTGTAAAATAAAAAAAAGCACATTGCATACTTCCAACAAAGAATACCACAGAATACATATTACCATTCATATAAGGAGGAATAGAGGCATAGTGAGGAAATACTGGATCAAAGCAAGAACAAACCCAGCAGGGCAAACTCCCAGTCTTGAAGTTCTATGTCCAATATCAAAAACCTTTGATGGTTTTTCCTTTCCAGTTTTGCTAACTATAACACACTTCTCTCTTTTGAGCTGTTTTCACTCCCTGTATGCACCTCTCCCTGCATACACCCCATGGCTTTGGTACCTCCAACATCCTGGGGTCTCCAACACAATCCAGGCTTCACATTCACAGCTTCACGCAGTGACTTTTCTGAACCTCCATACAAGGACCCCCAGTCACATACGTGTTCCTAATGACTTTCCTTAACTGGGGAGGGAGATTCCACAGACCCTTTACTACACTATCCTTCATGACTCTAAAACTAGAATCATGGCTAAAGTTGTCAAGTAAGTACTTCAGGCTTGGGTTGGAGTCTGGCCCTCTCCTTAAATTACATTTGCATAAGGTTTGATTTGTTGCTTTCATTTGTTTTAGGAGCAGAAAATTCCTTGACATTTCCCTTTTAAAAGCTGGAAATGTAACTAAATGTGGTATTGTCCTGAGGACACTGCTCTTTATTCCATTTCACATCATACCTGCCTTTAAAGTTCTCATCTCTTTGAACATAAGACTTGGCTCCAGAATTAAATTTCCTGTTGTTCTTCTCTCCTCAAATTGTACAATTTGTATTTCTTTTTTGCCCCATTTGTTCTTTTTCCATCATAGCCCACATAAGAGTCATCACTAATAATCACATAATACATTAAGTATTAGGATATCCTAAAGTCTCCTCTGACAGTGAATAGTTCAAAACTCTTCAGTTAGCCTTATGCAGATTCTGAGGACAAGGGCAAAAAGCAGCCACATTCTTTGCCAAAATATCCTAACAATGGTTTCTAACCCAATGGTGTCTAGCTAATAATTGTTGCCCTCTGAAACCTCTTTAGCCAAGCCTCCACAGTATACATAGCTCTCACACTACTGCCTTCCATGTTCCTACTAGGATGGCCCATTAAACCCCACTTACAGCAGCATTCAACCACTTCCCTAGACCAAAGTCTTCCACATTTCTTCAAAAAGACAGCATGGTCAGACCTATTCCATCATAGTACCCTGTTCCTGATACTAACTTCTAGCTTAATTCTTCCAGCTGTGATCCAGGCATTCACTGTAGAAGCCTGTGGGAGCCATTCTCATTCTGGTAGAAGTAAATCTAAAATATCACTAATTACAAATTTACTAAACCAAGATTAACACATTAAAATAAAAAAACTACACACTCCTCAAAATAAATGCACCCTACATAGAAGACAGGCATTAAAATAAAAGGAGCCTAGGCCTTATGCTGTAAACCTGTAATCCTAGCACTCAGGACCTGACAGAGGATTGTAAGTTTGAGAGCAGCTTGAGCTACACAACAAGATCTTGTCTGAAAAAAAAAAATAAGAGATATACCATGCAAATCTGTTGAATATTTAAAGACCAAGGCACACAAAATTAAATAGCCAATTAATAACTATTTTACAGTAGCATATCCTGTAACAATACTGGGCTTTGATTTTTTTTACTATGGAATATATGACTAAGAACTCACTGCGTTATTCTGATGTTCAGCAGGACATAACAGGTGATAGTACTCTAAAAAGGCAAAAATGCATCCCTGTTATTACTACTGTCTTTCCTTGTCCATTGTGGTAAAGATGATAAATCCATCAATAGAATGGAAAAATAAATCAGGTGTATTCATGAGGGCATTGCCTAAAATAAGCAGATCTGCTGACAAATGGGAATATTGTCATGCATACACAGGTATTTACCAATCTGAAAATCAGAAAACATGAGGCTAAGGCTCTTCAGTATGGTCTCAAGTGTAGGAGTCCAATGATGGGACTCGAAGTACCCAGTAAAATAGAGGCTAGATAATACTTTTTCCAAAACAAAAACATGTTTAACAAACTACTGAGAAAAGTTGTATTCTGCTCTCTGGCATACAGATTATACTCTCTCTCAGGTTAGAAGACTGGATGAGTTATCAGACTCAGAACTACTTGGATATAGCTCTGATTCTCAAGAAACACTAGTAAAAGAAGTAATAGATTTCAGGCTATTCTTTGGAGGTTGTAATCCATTGATCTGTCCTACTTGAAAGTGACACTTCTAGGTGGCTAAGTCCTTCAGTTAGTCTCCATAGCAATGGCAGTGTGGGAGACTACACTTTATCTTCCAAGTAAACTCTGGTTCTTTTGGAATTTTGCCTATACATTTGAAAATTGATATCTGTGCAACTTGAGTCTTTGTATCCAGAAACACAGCATCTCGCTTTTTCTAGTTATTTTAATGTCTTTGAATAAAGAATTACAGATTTTTTTAATAGGCTTTGCTGATTTTTACAAAGCTTGTTTCTGGATATTCCATATTTCCTGTTGCTGTCATGAATAGAACTTTATAATTTTCTTTGTCCTCGAGAAGTTCATAAATGTATACGATGAAATCTGATCATATCCTATCCACACTCCATTTCCTTCCAACTTGCCCCAAGTCCCCATCCCAGCTTCATGTGTTTCTTATCTATCTATCTATCTATCTATCTATCTATCTATCTATCTATCTATCATGTTGCTCATTTGTGCATGGATGTGGGGCTATTCCCTGAATCAAGGGTAACATGCCAGTGGGAACACTCTCATAAAAGAATAATTCTTCCTCTAGAAGCTGTGAAGTGCTGCACATGCACACACACACACACACACACACACACACACACACACACCAATGCTAGAATTTTGTCTAGCTTTATAGATCTTCTGCAAGTAGCCATACCTTCTATGAATTCGTAAGTACACTAATCTATCATGTCTGAAAGATGGTGTTTTACAGTATTTCTTCCTGAATAGGACTTTTATACGATTACATTTTATAGAGTGTATAATAGAGAAGCTCCAGGCTCCTTATATAATTAAGCTTTATCCTTGAATGGCAGGTGTGCATTGGGGCTATGAAGAAACCAAGACCTTTCTTGATATCCTTCGTGAGACTCGGTTTTATGAAGCACTTCAAGCCTGTCATCGCAAAAGCAAATTGTATGGAGTCGTGGCTGAACAACTTCGAGAGTGTGGCTTTCTCCGGACACCAGAGCAATGCCGAACCAAGTTCAAAAGCCTTCAGAAGAGTTACCGAAAAGTGAAGAATGGCCATGTACTGGAGTCGTGTGCATTTTACAAGGAGATGGATGCTCTCATTAACTGCCGTACATCTGCCCATTCTACCAACACCTCAGAAGAAATTCCATCACTCTCTAGGCAAGAAAGAGGACATATTGTGGTTGAACCCCAAGAGCCTACAATTTGGGAACCTGAGGAGACCTCACAGGAAGCAGTGTTAGAAGATTCTGGTACTGAGAGAATGAGTGATGAGGAAATTATAGAAGAGCCAGAATTCCAAGAACCCACAGGCTCACCCCAAAGTCCAACTGGTAAGGGTCGGTAGGGCTTTTGGTCGAAGGGAGAAGATGTGACTTCTTGAAAAATCAGTACTTGTGTCATATAGCTCATGCATGTTTATTCACTCAGAAGATATTCAAATGACATTTGCTGTTAGAGGACCAGGGAACTAGAACTGAATACAATGGGTTCTGTTCTTGTAGTACTTCCTTACAAGGAGGAGCTAAACTGCTCACATTCTGTCGGCTCAAACTTTGGGACTTTAGCCTTGACTTGGTGGGCAGACAGTGTTTTGTTTCAGAAAATACTATAGAGAAGAATATGAGATTCTACCTAAAAAAAAAAAAAAACTTGAAGGAGGAGAAAAGTCAGTGAGCTCAGATCAGAAGCATCTCACTGTTGTGTGATGTCATGAGGAAAAGGATAGGCAGAGACAAGATGAGAGGCTTTGTCCTAGCTCAGCAGCCTGCTTCTCTTGCCCACTGGCTGTCTTCACAGGCATGTAACTGCCAGCTCAAGCGTTAAATGTAACTAAGACCCGCCCCCACAGGTGTCCTTTAAAGATCATTTTAACGTCTCCTCACTGGGCATTTACAGCCAGGCAGATGGCATAGCTTCTGCCTGTCCCTGCATTCATTGCCATAGATAGCCATTATTGCAGTTCTGTCTTTCTCTATTTCTTGCCTAGATTGTAAAAGTCTCAAACCCAAATTTTCTCAACCAAACTTTTTAAGGGGGTGGAGGGTCCTGAGAGAGAGAGAAAGGTCCTTACTATAGCCCAGGCTGGTCTGGAATTATCCTCTTGCCTCCACCTCTTGAGTTCTGGGATTACAGGCATGTGCCACCCTGCCCAGCTTCTCACCCATGTTTTGATTAAGCTATCTTTAACCTGGGTTCATCATATCATTCAAGGCACATGTACTAGTATTTTCTTTCTCTATGCTTACTTGAAACAAAACTACTTGCTGTGTTCTACAAGTTCCTTAAGCTCTCTCATATCTAAACCATGATTCATGATCCCTCCTCCCCAACCACTCACACCTTGAACACATTTGGCTCTACACCTCTCTGTATACAAATTCTTTCAACTCCCACACTTTGTCTTATAGTACCAATCACTTTTATGTCCTAAGCCAACCTCCCTCCTGGAGGATGGGAGCACTGTCTTTCTGTAGCCACAGGATATGTCAGAATGTGAGGCATTTCACACTGATTTCTTGAAGCCAGTGTATCTGGTTTGCCTGAATTAGTTGTACAGGCTCTTTAAAAGAACTTCATATATATGATGTCTGGTAATATTTATATGAGAAATTATAAAGAATAAGTCCAGCTGGGTGGTGGTGATGCACACCTTTAATCCCAGCATTCAGGAGGCAGAGGCAGGAAGATCTCTTGAGTTCAAGGCCAGCCTGGTCTACAGAGCAAGTTCCAGGACAGCCAGGGCTACACAGAGAAACCCTGTTTCTAAAAAAAGAAAAATGCAAAAGAGTAAGTCCAATATAATTTCTTTCTTTAAATGTTATATATTCATTTCTCTGTGTGGGGATATTTTGCCTGTGCATATGTCTGATTACCATGTACATGCCTGATGCCCACTGAGGCCAGAAGAGGGAGTCAGTTACCTGGAAGTAGAGTTACAGATAGTTGTGAGCTATAAACCCTAGTCCTCTGGAAAAGCAACACAAGTCTTTAACTGCTGAGTCATGTCTCAAGTCCCAACTTCCTTTTTTAATAACTGTAAAGAGTCCCTATAAATATTATTTTAGGTAACCTCCAGAATCTAACCAAATTATCAGTTACTGTCTGAGTCAACTAATAGGCTATGACTTCCTCTAAATCCCAGAACAATTTTGAATCGAATAATAAAACCTCAAAAGGAGTACTAATTGAAAATAATATTACTGTCCCTTTTTATATAAATTAATGACTGACTGTTGGCTGCCCTTCTCTTCCCCACCCATGCCATAGCTAACAGTTTCATTTGAATATGTGGAAGGGGAGTCATGTTGACATCTACAAGTAGGAACATGATGGTATAGTACATACTTAATCGCAAGGGTTTGAAAATCAAACCTAGCCCAAGATATTTAGCCTGTGAAATATTTATGGATGACAATAATATGTCTTTTAGAATTTGCATCAGAGTAGTCTGGGTAGAGATCAGGAGTATGTGAAACTGGATTAGCCATAAATACATCATTGTTAAAGGTAAGTAAAATAGTTCATGGTAGTTCTTTATACATATTACACTGTTCATTCTTCTGTATGCATGAATTTCCCATAATTAAAAATTAAAACAAAGCCGGACAAAATCCCAGCACTCAGGAGAAAGAAGCAGGTGGATCTCTGTGAGTTCAAGACCAGCCTACTCTACAAGATCTAGTTCCTGGACAGCCTCCAAAGCCACAGAGAAACCCTGTATTGAAAAAAATTAATAACAAAAACACAATTAAGTGACTGGGATGTTGCTAGAACCAAACTATGCCATTCCAAGCTTCTGGCTGTTTGCTATGTCATGCTTTCCATAAAACTCCACAGAGAAGCTGAATCCAAGATGTTCCTTCTAGTAAATGGGGTATAATGAAAATCTAGCTTTGGAAGCAGTAAAAATTAGTATTTGTATTATTGTAGTCCAGGAAGAAACCAGAAAAACAAGCTACAAGACCATATGATGAAAATAGTACTCTAGGCTAGAACCTGAAAAATTTAGAAGTATCTTGAATTTGGAGTTGTCCTTTAGAGTATACACTCAAATGAGGTATAGTGTAATATTTTAGTATAGATGTGAAAGAATAAAAGCAGAACTTCAAGGAGGTAAACCAAGTTGTTGCTAAATTTACAAGGATATAGATGGAGAATGATAGCTTGGACAGAAATTCAGTTTTAAAAACTTGTGAGGACCAACATGGTAGCAAATGTCACTGGCCTTTTTATAGAACTGAAAGAGGGTAAAGCATGGTGAATAAGTCAAGACACAGTGTGTCCTGATAAACATTAGAGGATCATATAACGATTCTCAGCATGATTAATTATTTTTGTTAATATCAAAGTTTTGTGAAATTTTACTGTCTTTTCCTTTTCCAGATTTTGAAATTGGAAATAGTATTAAAGAGGACCCAACACAGGTAATATTTAAGGACAAAGAGCCCCATGGGGCATTAATAGAAAAGTCTAAAAGCTTTGTTTCACAGAATACCAACCCCAGTAAGTATTATAAAAGGGAATGCATCTCAGGAAGACAATGGGAAAACCTTCAAGGAATTAGACAGGGAAAACTGATATCTCAACCTAGAGATATGGGGAAGGCTACAGTGCATCACAGGCCTTTCATGGGGAGGAGACCATACAGACTTCTCAAATATGGAGAAAACTTTGGAAGGAGTGCCCGTCTTATGTGCAGGATGGCCCACCAGAAAGAGAACCCTTACAAGTGTGGTGTCTGTGGGAAGTGCTTTGGTAGAAGCAGGAGCCTAATCAGACACCAAAGAATCCACACAGGGGAAAAGCCTTTCAAATGTTTTGATTGTGGGAAAAGCTTTAATGACTCCTCAAATTTTGGAGCCCACCAGAGAATCCACACTGGAGAGAAGCCGTACAGATGCGGAGAGTGTGGGAAATGCTTCAGTCAGAGCTCAAGCCTTATCATCCATCAGAGAACCCATACTGGTGAGAAGCCCTATCAATGTGGAGAGTGTGGGAAAAGCTTCACCAACAGTTCTCACTTCAGTGCCCACCGCAGAGTCCATACTGGAGAGAATCCCTACAAATGTGGGGACTGTGAGAAGAGCTTCAATAACTGCGCAAGACTTCGAGAACACCGGCGAATCCACACTGGAGAGAAACCCTATACATGTGCCCAATGTGGCAAACATTTCAGTAAGAGCTCTTTCCTCACCAAACATCGAGAAGTCCACATGAGAGAAAAGCTACTACCATACTCTTCCCCTGGGTACTTACCAGAAAATCTCCTAAGGGGGAAGAGTGATGAGTTCAGGAAGGCCTTTTGACAATGAGCTTCTTTTTCCACATGCCCCATTAGCCATCTTATCCTGCCCCCACTCTTGGAAGCAATCTTTTCTTAGCTATAAATTGCAGTTCCCAAGGCAGGCCTGAGAATATAAATAAGCTAGATTTTTTTCATCTGTTCTCACCTCATGTTCTAACATGCTCAGTCTGCCTCTTATGAGTCTTGACTATTCCAGTAAAGTGAGATAATAAGTTTTTTGAGTTCAGAATAAAATTCCTATTAGAATGTTGAGACCAATGCTATTGTCCAGCAACTATCAATACTCTCACAAATGAGTAAAAGTTCTTTTCAAATATATATGGTAGCAACTTGACAATGGATTTTTTTATATCTGGGTAGAACTTAGAGATTTGTTCAGAACTATATCAGATCTATCTTTGTTTTGAGGGTATAAAATGAGAGTGAAAGTTTTATAGCTTTCTTCAGAAGTCTTTATCAAAGAGTTGATCCTAATTCCCTGTGTTGCTACTGAAGTCATGTTGCTAATACCTTATCCTTTACCAAGAGAAGCACTTATTCACCCTTCATATCCCTTTATGTTTCTAAAGACTTAACTCCAGTAGCTGCTGCTTCTCCAGGAACAAGTAATCCTTTTAGTGTTCATCAGAAGTCTATACTTACCTCTTAAATGTTCTAGGTGCTCTAGTTTATTTTTTCTAGACTACCTTGGCCCACTCAGATGGGAGAGGATGCATATTAGTGCTGTCTTATTAAGAGAAAATGAGATTTCAAAATCTAGTTCTACCCCATCACTTCTCTGACTCTTAACCTAAAACAAGACCTACTTATATGTTGGCATATTTCAAACTGCCTAGCACTGTATGTCAATGTAATTGTATTTCTAAAAGTTTAAGATTGTAAGGAAGAAGGATATAAGACCTGAAATATTTACTGGAATCTTTAGGCCTGCTTTAGATCAAAGAGCTACCTCAGTCCAGACTACATTTCCAGGGTTACTGTTACACATACTAGCCTCTGGTTCTGAAGCTTCTAGTTCCTGTTAGTAGGATCATAAACCTGACTATAGAGCCCCAAATAATTACACAACTCTTTGGTTCACTCAGTGAAAGAACTATTTATAAACTTCCACCAAATTTTCCCCATTTCCCTGTTCATCTTAGGTGGGGGGTGTCTTTGATAATCCCCTGGTATTAATCAGGTAAATATTGTCAGAAACTTTCTGGTGGGTAAATAGTTAGCTCATACAGAATTACAGATGAAATTCAGGAATTTGATCTTCCCAAACCAGTTTCTTGCAGATGAGGCCTGTGCATTCATACCTTTAATACATAGGTAACCCAATGTAGCTTTGCTTTGGGGAGGAAGAATTCCCAAGTATAGTGAAAGGAAAACCATAGTCAGGGCTCTTACTAGGTTGTTAACCTGTCTGGTGCTCTCTTGTTTGGAAACAACTAGAGATAATATTTTTATGTGAGTAAAATCTTTTGAGACCTGTTCAACAAAGTATTAAAGAGGATAGACACTAGAAAGAAAAGTGCTCTATGGTGCCAACATAGGGTGTAACCTGCTGGAAGGCAGGTGACTCAGGTAAATGCTGATAACTATTTGTGATGTGTTTTGTTGGAAATGTTATAATTGTTGACACCTGTGTATTGTCTGAATTAGAGACTTCTAATGGTACATTCAGCTTCACTTTGGTACTGTGCCTAGACCAGTAAGATTGTGTGGTGCCAGTGGGTGTGTGCTTATAATTATGTAGATGTTCTGAAATTCCAGCTCTAGGAAAGATGCACATTAGTATGAATTGCCACTTTGTAACATGTACACAGGATTGATACTTACATGGAAGCATGATTCAGAACATAGATGGCTTGTTCACCAATACTTATGTACTGTTATATAGAAGACCATGCTCTAACCAGAGAAAGGGACACAAAAATTATGGGAGCCATGGTGGCTGTACTCTAGCAAGGAAGTGTTACAGAGAAGATGATCTAATAACCCCATGGTGATGTAGAAGGTCAGTCACGCCATCTGAAGGGACTGCAGCCACATCCTGAAGACCTTCAGTAAATTGCAAATAGAAAACCAGTCTGAGCTGCACTTTTTGACACATTTTCCAAGCATCAGGAAAGATCCAAGATCTGTTCGGTCTCCACCATGACAAAGTGATTGTTTCCTTTGTCTAAAATACAGCTAGGTAGGTTTGGGTTCCCCTACCTATAATCCTAATCACAAACAATCTATTAGGATGTGTGTTGATTTAGTGGACCTTTTCTCAGTTCTTAAGAAACAGGTCTTCCTACCATCTTAGACCAAGGTGCTTATGTATTTCTCTTTTGTCAGCTGATTCATGAAAAATAGAATGAGTGATGGCATCCTGAGTAATATATCTCTATCACCTCTTTATGATCCATAGATCTCAATACCAAGGACTTTAAGGAGAAAAACAAATTTGTTTGTTTGTTTGTTTGTTTGTTTTTAATCTTAAAAACACTGTGATTTTTTATAATTGCTGTTTCTCCCTTGTTGCTCTGGATGCTGGAAAGCTCAACAGAACAGTTCACCTCAGCCAATTACCTATACTTACTTATTTTACTCTGTTGTATTTCTTTGGAGAGTGTCTCAAGTCCTATTTTTGAACAATGGTATATGTATAAACAGATTCTTTATTTTCTGGCATTCTGTCAAAGACAGTTTAGAAATTGTATTTCCTTCCTAGGCCTTCATTAATTTCCACAAATAACTTGCTAATTCTTACTGATGATTTTGTTATACATTCAACCTCATTCATTGATCTGGGAAAAAAACACATGTTTCTGTAAAGAAGAAAACTCACACATTAAATAGATCAGGCCACAAATGAATGTGTATTAGACTAGAAGCCAAAAGAAAAATTTAGTATTGTTACCACTTCCTGAATTTAATTGGATAAATCACAACTTCTCTTTCTGAGTAGTTAAACTTAATTGCCAAAATTACAGAAGTCCTCATGTTCATGAAGCCATGGAGCATTGTAGAAATGAAAAAGTAGAAAGGCCAGAGTCATACTTTGACTACCCATTGTATGCCACCTACAGGCCACACTGAGTCCATCCCATGCTTTAAGATAACAGCAATGCTGGTCCAGCTTGCTCAGTAAGAAGAAAGGACAAACCATTTGTTTTCAGTAACAGGAAAGTCCTTCCCTCTCCTATCTCTGAAAGCCAAAGGTGGGTAGATAAAATGAAGAAAATATTTTGTGAGTGCTACTGCTCAGTGACAGACAAGATTCGTGGATTAAGAAAACCCTAATGGAAGGAGCAGCTGAGTTATTTGTGTGGTCCACATCCTCCGCCTCCACCTGAATGCATTCTAGAACCAAGTGTAAATGGACATCTGTCTTCATTGTGTGTTAATGTTCACTTAGATGTCTTCTTGAAAGCTTGTATGTGAAATGTCTACAATAAATGGCTACCTTTGGTTTGCTATAGTTTGAAGGAAGTCTTTATTTAGAAAAATGAGTATGTAACAAATTCAAGGCCAATCCTTGTGAATGATAAAAAGAACTTGACTTTCATGCCAGTTCACAGCTGCCCTCCATAGCCAGAAGAAAGGGACATACTGTGAATATACTGTGAATCCACAGCAGTTCTTGTACAGCAGTCCTTCAGCTGCCATTAGCATTAGCCCAAATAGTGGTTTGCTTTACTCCAAGGTAAAATTGGTGTTGGACAGACATGTGCTTCTGACAAGACTTGCACATCAGCCTAACTGAAATCCTAGCTGTCTCCTTAAAGCTACAGTTGTAGAAAATGAAAGTTTATTCTCTTAGTGTCTCCTGCTGGGCCTGAGGAGTAGATTAACATAAAACAGAAGAGCAAACAAAGCTTTTTCTGTGGGAGGGTCTTCCAGATAAAGGCCGAAAAAAAGTAACAAAGCCTGAGCACTTGTCTACCAACCAGAAGAAACAGTAAAGATTACACAATGTCAATAGGCTGGGAGAGCCAAAGAGAGGGAGATGCAAGGTTTTAACAAGATCTATGTAGAATTCTCTCAGCCCCAATTCCACATCTCTCATCGTGAGAACATTTCTTCTTGGTGAGGAGAGCATCTTTCACATAGGCATCTCTTCTGGAAGAATTATCAGATTAACCCTCTTGCACTAGCTATTTTCCAAGTGCTTTTAACCTAAAATATCCTATGCCAAAAAGGATCCTTTCCTTGGAGGTGATAAATTCTGGTCCAAGTGCTTTTAAACTAAAATATCCTATGCCAAAAAGGATCCTTTTCTTGGAGGTGGTAAATTCTGTCACCCTTTACAATATTACACTTTTTTTTCTTAATTTGGGGATGGAATACAAGGTCTATCTAGCCCAGGTTTGCCTCAAACTCTTAATTCTCCCACCTCAGTCTAGTGTTGGAACTACAGGTGTATGCTACCAAACCTTTCACAGTGTTGCTCTTGACCATTGCTTTGACAGAAATGAAAAGTTCTACGGTTTCCATGTAGCTTTTCTCACCATAACAATCATGACCCTTGGCCTTGGAATCAATGCAGAAGGTCAGCTGCCTTATGTGTGTTTATTTTCAGCTGTACATCCAGAAAGTATAGGAAGAACAGTAAGATGTCTCAGTCTACCCACTAAATACAGAGTGGATTCCAGATGAAGGGTTTCTATCACTCTTATCACATGATTTTGTTTTTCCTGAGACAAGGTTTATCCTGGAACTAGCTCTGTAGACCAACTGGCCTCAAACTCTTAGGGATCCACTTGCTTCTGCCTCCTGAGTGATAGGATTAAAGGCATGTGCCACCACCACTTAGTTCACCTGGATTTTATAACTTGTTTTGTGCTACAAACTTCAACACTATCCAAAGACTTCAAGAATTTTAATTGCTGAGTTACTACAGAGTGCCAATATCTAGATATGTCTTGTAGTAAGTAGCCAAAAAGTTTAGCTCAGTATGGCAGAGTTCTCCAAGTTACCTGACCTTCCCTTTCATTACAGAGCATTCAGTGGTGACTCAGGTCTGACATTGAATATGAGATTTCAAGTGTCTAAAGGTGCTACATTTTACATCCTTCTATAGAGAAAACACTGAACCACATAATGTAGGATTAACAAGATCAATTCATTAATCTCCCCCCCCCACCTCCACTGAGTCTACACCCTCAACTTGAGGTGAATCTGAGGCCAGCTCAGGTCCAACCCTCCCCATCCTTTCCTTGGAACTTCCTGGATCAGCTCTGCATCTTGACCCCCCCCCCCGCCATGCCTTTTGCTTGAGTGGACCTGCCCTGGCATGATGTACCATCCAGAGCCTGCCTGCTTCTCACTCTTACCCCCACCATAGCCTCTGCTTGAGGTCAG